GTCAGAAGGTTAAGGGGGCAGTTGGATGTCAGGGGGACAGGGTTGGAGGGGTTTGGAGATCAGGGGGCTATCAGAGTGTCAGGGAAATTTGGAGGTTTCCAGATGTTGAAAGGTCGGAGAGGAGTCAGGGGACTGGGAATGTTAGAGGGCCAGGAAAATATTCAAAAAGAACAATGAGAAGAAAGGTGTAGTTTAGATTTATTGCTGTGAATTTGTCAAACTGGTATTAATTGATGAAGAAAGAAACTTTCTGCAAGGTGGCTATGTGATTTTATAAAATGCCAAGTGGAATTATATTTTAGAAAAGGCAGGAAAGAGAATTGAACCCTCAGCCAATAAATATTTCCACTTTGGCAGAAACCTGAATACGGGCTCTGTATGGTCTTTAAGTTACCTTAAATGCCCTTTACAGATGATCGCTTCAGTCACAATATGTGCCAACATGATTTCCTAATGCAAGCAAATTAGCAATTGAGTATAAAACCACTGATAGCTTTATTTGCTCTTCTTTCTACATTGGTTTTGTGCAATTTAGTGCAGAGTTATATTCAATTTTAACTTTGTCGATTGACAAGGTTGACAGTATTCTGACCCCTGAGTGAGAACATCCTGAGCATAAGCCTCACTCCAGAGGGGGAATACTGAAACTGGTATTTTAGTTCAATACCAAGGGAGCACTGTACTGCCGTAGGTGTGGCTTTTCTAGCGGTGTTCAACAGCAACCTGAGCAGTTTAGATATAAATTACTATGTGGCATGATTCTTAGAACCTAGGAGTTATTACGGATTATTATGGATAATAAGATTCTCAAAATTGAATGGGCTCAAGTTTATGTCCAAGATTTAAGGACTGCATTCCGATCAGGAAATAATCACAGACACAGAAAAGAAATTATTTATAGGTGAATTTTTAATAGATATAAATGTAACTTAAAACAGATTCAGGTACAACCACTACGTAAATTGTTTAAATTGCAAAGAGGCTTTCATGAGGTAACAGCGTCATAGGTTAATTGAATTTCCTTTCTGAGGTTAAGATGTAATTCTATTAATATGCAAATTACCAAAATTGGATGAAAGCAAGCCTTTTTTTTTAAAAATAATCTTTTGCGGTTAAGATTTGGACTGGAAGAAAATGCTTGAGCGCTCAGCCAAATAAATAATAAATTAAATCCAAAAAGAAAATCATGGAAACTTTCAGCAGCAACTGGGAGAGAGAAATGGAATTAATCAATTGAATGTTCATCTTTGGTGTACAGGGACTTCATCCCTGTTGTTCATAAGAGAACAAAACAAAGAACAGTGCTCACCAATGCGAGATATTGCATTTTGAGAAAACAAACAAGGGTAGGGCTTATACAATTAATGGTTGGGCCTTGGGTAGTGTTGTAGAACAGAGAAACCTCAGGAACAGAAAGGACTGCAGATGCTAGAAACCAGAGTCAAAAAATGTGGAGCTGGAAAAGCACTGCAGATCAGTCAGCATCAGAGGAGCAGGAAGGTCAATGTTTCTGTCCTGAAGAATGGTTCTGACCCAACAGGGACCTCGGGGTTCAGGTACAAAAGTCTTTGAAACTTACGTCACATGTAGACAAGGTGGTTAAGAAGGCGTTTAACATGCTTGTCTTCATTGGTCAGACCTTTGAGTAGAGGGGTCGGGAAGTCATCATGAGGTTGTACAGGATATTGGCAAGGCCTCTTCTGGAGTATTGTGTACAGTTCTAGTTGCCCTGTTATGTCAAATTGGAGAGGGTTCAGAAAAAGATTTACCAGGGTGTTGCCCGGAATGGAGGGTTTGAATTTTGTGGATAAGGCTAGGACCTTTTTCACTGGAGAGTAGGAGGTTGTGGGGATACCTTATAGAGGTTTATAAAATCATGAGGGGCATAGATAAGGTGGGGGAGTTCAAAACTGGGAGGCACATTTTTAAGGTGAGAGGAGAAAGATTTAAAAAGGACATGAGGAGCAAAGTTTTTTTACACAGGGAGTGGTTAGTGTGTGAAATGAACTGTCAGAGGAAGTGATGGATGCAGGTACAGTTACAACATTTAAAACACATGAGTATTGGGATAAGTATATGAATAGGAAAGGTTTAGAGGGATATGGGCTAAATGCAGGCAAGTGGGACTAGTTTACTTTGCGAAGATAGTTGGCATGAACCAGATGGACCCAAGGGTCTGTTTCTGTGCTGTAGAACCCTATGACTCTATAAACTATCTCCCCTCTCTACCTCTCACAACCCTTCATCACCCCACAGGTCCTGGACCTCATTTGTGCCAATCTATGCCACCTCATGTTGCCCAACCACTGCTGTAAAACCTTTTCCCACGGTGGTTTATACCCTCCATATCAGGCGATCCCAATCCACCCACCCTATGTTCCATTACACCCTTATGGTTTGAACTCAAAAATGTGAAATGGTACAAACTACTGTGAAAGACAATATTGGGCTAAAGATAGGCTAAGAACAAGAATTACAGAAAGTGAATCAGTCCCTTCCAGTTCCTTGAAGTACCATGTCCATATCGTCTGGTGCCCAATTAATGAACACAGGGAAGAAGTGGGAGAAAGTTAGCAAGAGAAAAACATATTTTGAACTCATTTAATCTTAGATCACTCTGCTTCATTTTAAGAATAGTTTTCATTGAAATAAATCATACTTTTCAACAAAGTTGGCTGATTGTCGCTTTTTATAAGCATCATAGAATCCCTACAGTGCAGCAAGAGGCCATTCAACCCATCGAGTTTGCACCAACCCTCTGAAGAGCATCCCACCCAGACCCACACCCTCATGCTATTCCTGTAACCCCATATTTCCCTTACTGGACCATCTAGCCTGCACATCCCTGGACACTATGGATAATTTAGCATGGTCTTGCCAGTGATGACCACATCCCAAGGCTGAATGGAGAAGTAAAGTGTAAAGTATAAGTAAATAAATTCACCCCAAATTGAAGGAAAGATTATATGTTTACTTGTGTCTTAAGAGAAGAGAAGGAGAATTTGGTTGATTGATTCTCTCAGATGCCCAAAATATATTTTTTGTTTAATTTTGCTGAACTCAAAAAGGGTCTTTGCTTGGAATCATGCAGGCTTGTTTGTTGGCTCACAGTTACACACCGCAGTACCTCAGATTTAATATTCTCATCCTTGCAATCTCAATTATTCAATGGCTTCACCCTTCCATATCTCTGTAAGCTGCTCCAGCCCGACAACCCTTTGGGAACACTGCATTCCTCCAAGGAGGGCTCTTTGCGCATCTCCCACCTACTTTGCTTCACCATCAGTGGCTAACGTCAGTCACCTGGGCCCTGAGTTCAGGAATTCCCTTCCCAGAGTTCTCCACTTTTTTCCCTCTCCATCTTCAAGACCCTTCTTCAAGCCTAATACTTTGGCCAATTTTTTGGTCACCTGCCTCTTTCTTTAGATTGATCCATAGAATCCCCACTGTGTGGAAGCAAGCCATGTGGCCCATCAAGTCCACACTGGCCCTCCACAGAGCAATCCACACAGATCCACCACCCCTAATCTTATTCCCTGTAACCCATGGCTAATCCACCTAGCCTGCAGATCCCTGGACACTATAGGGAATGTAGCATGGACAATCTACCTTACCTGCAAATCTCTGGACTCTGGGAGGAAACCAGAGCACCTGAAGGAACCCACACAGACACAGGGAGAATGTGCAAACTCCACACGGACAGTTGTCCGAGAGTGGAATTGAACCCGGATTGCTGGCGCTGTGAGGCAGCAGTGCTAACCACTGAGCCACCATGCTGCCCTTGGTGCCCATCTCAGTCTGATAGTGCTCCTATCAGCTACATAAAGGCAAGTTGCTGTGGCCATCAAAGCACTATCAGTTCATTACATGCATCTTTTAAAATATTTCAAAGTTAAGTCTTTCACGTAAACCTCAGTAACCATTTTCCCATTTCCTATGCCAATACTTGAGTTAGAAAAGCATACAACAATTCTAACAAAAGGCATACATGGGGCAGAGGTTAATTGTGTATTTTTCAGGCGTGAATAGGAGCACCTGCCTTTGATACCTCCACTGGCCAAGCTGCACATATATTCGGGCCTATGCTCAACCTGTCAAGCTTGTTTTTAGGCATCTCGAGAGGTCACCTAAAAAAGGCATTAGGACCCCCTTCACCTTGCACATATTAACAAGAGGACCTCTTTGAGAAATCGGTTTCTGACATGCAGAGCCAGAACTTTGACATCTTCCTCTCAGAATCCTTCAGTATGTTTACTGTGTCAAACTGATGGAATCGCAATGTCACAAAACATTTCTTGAGACCTGAAGACCAATTTTGGGCTTTTTTTTAGCTACCCAGTTGGAGAAGTGAGGTGTCTTCTTGCTGCTGATTATGAACCTGAAGCTGTGGCGTGTATTCTAAATAATCCATTCCCAAGGCTGTTAAGCTTTCAATAGCGCTGTTAATTGAGCAGATGTAAATATAGAACAATGTTGCAGAGCCCATGCTTCTGTAATAGGGATTCACTAAAAAACATTGTGAAGTTCCAGAACATCAGAATCTAATGTAACTCTGGGAAATATCAAGGTTCCTTGAGTCCTTATTTTTTATATATTTTCCAATAATTTTTAACTGAAGTTGTTCTTTTAAAATCGAAGGAATGATGGGAGAGCTCGATAATTAATTGGTTTTGACTGACACTTTACAGGATTTTGTCATTTTAATCTACAGAGATTATCTCCACAGATTCCTTACTGACATTGTTTGATGCATTTGCAAAATCACCTTAGCTGTTCATTTTGTCCTATACTTGCTGTAGAAATGCTGGACGGTCTGTGGAACTAGTTAACTGAAGGCTGTAATATCTCACATCTTGTACAGACTTAGTTGATAAACAGAAGACCGATGGATTGATGACCTCTGAGAGATTCTTCAGTTGAGCAGAGTCCTCCAAAAAAAAACTCAACAAATCCCCGGGAACTGTTTGCTAAAACTGAAGAGGAATCAGTTAATCGGTCTGAAATGTTTTTGCAGTGTGCACATCCATCAGCCTGCCCAGATGGTGAGACCTTGGCAGAAATGGACGAGGATAAAAAACAGGCAGATAATTGGGTAGATATCGAAGAAGCTCAGCACTGTACACAACCCACGACCTGTCCAGATGGCGAGGCCTTGGTTGATGAGATGGATAAACAACATCAAATGCTTGGAGCACAAACGGTCAGAGGACCAGGGAACGCCGACGAAGCAGCTTTAAAAACCAATAACAAGTCCATCATGGGATCTGTCGGTCCAGAGGAAGCAGGACAAACAAACCTGGACAAAGTTCCTGGCCTCAGTAAAGTTGTCAGATTCCAGCTGCCTCCGGAGACAATTCGAGCTTCTGACGTTGATGATTTACAGGCCCCATTTTTTGAAATCGATGGCCTTGGAGAATGCTGTGTTAGTACTTTTACGAATACTTATCACTCTGAGAATTGGATTGGCATCACAGGCAAGTATTGACTCTTTGACCTGTTGAGTAGTTACCTTAACTTTGATCTAGAATTTTTGAAAAAGTCATTTTATCAGCAATAAACTGCGCATACATATAAATACATTCAGATCTACAGACATAAAGGAAATTATTCTGTTTGTTAAAATATAATGTCTACAGAACTCACAGCGCTGAAATCTAAACAAGTTTATTTTATTACCCTACCCTCTACTTTAAAACCTTTTTGAAAAATCCTAAGCCCCACACTTTACAAAAGTGTACATTTGAATCAAAGGACTCATTTAATGAAGAAATATTGAATTTTGCAATCATTTTGTTTTCTGGAAATTACTTAAAAAAACTATCAATCAATGCTTGTAACATCAAATTCCTTTCAATAAAAATAATACTTTTTTAAGTGACAACTCTTAAGCTTCTGTCTTACATTTCGTGGAATGTTAACTCAATGCTGACAGAATGGGGGTTGAGAAGTGCCCTTTGCAAACTGTGTACTTGGAGCAGCAATGCAATGATTACCTGCAGGCAGCATTAAGATGAAGTATATGCTGGATTCTTCCCCGTTTTTGATGATTGCTGGAGACAAGAAGCTGTGTCAGGAAAAGAACATGTTAATCAACTGATCTGTCCCTTGATATTCTCTCTGCTTTACATCCTCACCAGGGACCTTCAGTAAGTCGAGGTTCAGTGTCCACTGGCTTCCACACATATATACTCTCTCAGTCACACTGGAGTTCTACCTTCACTGAAGCAGCTTCCATTTTGTGCAATGTCTTTTGCCTAATTATCTCACAAATTATTTTCAGAAAGCAGCTTAAGCTTATTTTTGAGGCTAACAAATCCTTCTATCTCCTCCTCAGGCCACAGTAAAGCTGGAACTAGGGCCCCCACGACTCCCTCAATCCCGACAACCAAACAATTTCTTAGCGAGACAGAAATTGAATTGCAAAAGGGACATTAACCCAGTGGGATGGCAAACTGGAGACGTTAGGTAGAAAGTCTATTTATATTGACTCTAATGGAAGGTAAAATTCCTCAGAGTTTGACATTCAAAACATTCTCTAGGCGGGTCTCAGGCAGTCTAGTCAGCACTGTTCTGATTGGATGAGATGTTCCTAAAGGGAGAGAGGGGCAGACCTGGGGCAGATCACACTGTGCAGGGCCCTCCAACTCCCTTATATCCCCTGCATGGCTCGTCAGCTAATCCTTCAATCCTGTGAGCAAAGATCTCTGAATCTGTGGCTTTACATTTCCAAGATGAAAGGTCTGTCTCACTCTCACACACACACACACACACACACACACACACACTCTTCCCAATGAAAAGGTCACTCCCACTCTGGCTTCTGGTTCCTTCCCAGTCCCTTCCACCTCAAAGCAGGGGGTCCTCCTGGGGCAACAGCTCTGATTCAGCAACTCCCCACCCCCCGGCAATGCGGGGGACAGTTTTTGGTGCGGGACCAGTGCAATGACATGCACAGAAAGGGGATTGTCACGTAAAGTGTCAGTGTCAGAGGGGAGACGAAGCGAGTGAACACCAGCTGGGTCCCAGCCATGCCCTGCCTATCAATCGCTGCCAACATGGAGGTGCTGAAGCAGTTAGAGTGAGGTCTGAGGATGCAACCCTCACCTCCTTGGCATCTCTACCACAGAGGCCTGTGACAGAAACAGTATGCTGTAAGGGAGCCCCGACCCCCTACAATTCCTGGGCTTCTCAACTGGCCGCAGTTCAGGTGGGCAGGCCGCTGCCCAACCCTATCCACTGTGGGTAAGGGGGTTGGGGCACTGTGTAGGAGTGGGCATGAGCACAGATCTCCCCTCCATCTGCTGCGCTCGGTGTCCTGTTCTACTCCTGCATGTTTTCCTGACAGGAATGCTGGTTTGAAAATTTGCTTCAGTGTTTTATTTCCAGTTTGGGAGCCATCTGACACAAGCCTGGGAGCCATTCCGTTTTCAAATTGGCCTTGCTCACATTGTCAGGCCAGACTGCTGGTTCCACGAGGCTTGTGATTGTCTCGATAGCCTCCCTCCATTAAGTAACTTCCTCCACCTCTCCCCTTTTCTCTTCCTCTCCTTCCTCATCTTTGTCATCCTTTGAAGAAGAACGGTCTGTCCTTCGCTGCTTGTCATCCAGCTTCAGGTCTCTTTGAGCAGAAACATGCAGCAGGCGATTACAGTGTGGAACACCTTGGCTGGCCTGAGCTGGATGCCACCACTTTCCTTCTGTGGCTCCCCTTTCCTGGGTACTGGACAGGGTAATAGGAGCCACCTGTGCAGGAGATGACCCTTCTCCCTCAGCAACCACCTACTGAGTCTGGATCTCAACCTGAAGAGGGGCGACACCCGGGAATCTCGCAGGGTGAAGGAATTCCCAGCTTCCCAGGGCTGAGAACTAAGTTTCTTCTGGTCGCAGACCACCTGGACAATGAATGGAAGCCTTTTCTGTTCAGCAATGGTGCTGTGCTGTCTCCGTGACCTGAAGGCTATGCACATTCAGTGACCCCCTTGGAACTTGGTGGAATCCATCGATGGTGGCAAAAGTCAATGTTTCTGCCCTGTCTCTCTGTGTCAAGATGGATTAATCCCAAACTCCCTTGAACAAGACATCCACAAACTGCTGAGTGTGTCATTCCTCAACCCCACACCTAGGCCCCTCAAACTCCAGGACCAGGAGACCTCCGCGATGGCACAGGGCACAGCAGCCTGTAGACAAGCCCATAGCCGCCATGGACATCTCACTACGGTGAACAGCAATTGGCTACTGATGGTGAAGTCCATGACTTCAAAATTCAGGGCGATGATAAACTTGATGGATTTTCATGGGGTTCATGAAGCATCAGAGCACCGTGAGACCATTGGCCTGGGCAGGCACTTTCTCTCCTGGCATAAGAGCTCTGTCATCTGCAGATTGCTGACTCCTGGGCAGCGCACTCTACATTGTTCATAATGCCATCTTCTCCTGGCAGACTCTCAGTGAGGTCCTCTGCCATCCTCCTGACCAGAGGGATGCACACTGCTGAGTCTTCTCCTCACTGCTCTGCCTTCATCAGGGGTCACCCTTTCCAATCACCCATCCCTGAGTTACCAGTTGTTTGTGTGGCAGGGTGTCCGCTGCCAACCTTTGCCACCCAGCTAAAGCCAACAGCCTGACACCCATCCCAGAATTAACTCAGTACGCACCAGCCACCCGACCCCAGATATCGGTGAGAAATGCAAGTTACTCAGCTTCGGCAATGTGAACTCTACTTGCTGAACAGTTAATTGTGATTATCTATCTTAACTATGAGATGACCAGTGTCCCCGTTAGACCTGAAGGCTCTCTGCTGTGTGCCAGTCTGGTGTGCCCTGACTGCCCAAGACTGTAGGTTTCCTGTGCCTGAAGATTGAAAACCCCAAGCTGGCCCAGTAAGTACTCCTCCACAAACTCAACAGGTACTTCCATTATCCATTCTGAATTCCTAAAGACACACCTTTACCTTCCCAATGGAATTTGCTTTGTGTTCCTTTCTAATAGTGTGATTACTGTGTAAGTTTCTCTTCGTGCTGACCAGGACCATCATCCTCGATTATCTGGCCAAGTCTCTGGACTGTGGATTGACCTCCTGATCTTCGTATTTTGAGACAACAGGAATTCCACTGAGCCAAGGCTGACATCTTTTTACTGCTAGCCTATTCATTCCATCTTCCAAAATCTCCAAAAGTAAGTCTTTCCTACGAATTGCTGAGTGAAATGTGTTCGCATTGTTGAACCTGTTGGCAGAGGACTCGGAAAGCACGCCCACTGGCAATGTTAACGTATCCCATGTGTGCTGTGTTCCAAGCCCTGAGGTAGCACTATCCTTGCTGCAGAGCCTACCATCTGCTCTCCTGCCTGTTTACCGCTGGAACAACACCGACATGATCGAATGGAAACTGCCCTCTTGTCCAACAATATGGGACTTGAGCAAAACAATTCACAGAGAAAGAGCTGTAAGAACAGGAATGTGGTGCTTTGAGGTGGTAGGTATATCAACGTCTCTGCATCTGCTGCACTTCTGGTCAACTGACACCTTCGGAAGAGAGAACATTAAATACAATGCATCAATCTAACCCAGTGTCAAAGTGTGCTTCCTGTACAATTTGCCTCAATGTTTCTCTTTGTATTTGTGATTAACATGTAACACATACCTCAGCATTGTTCCTTCTAAGGGACTCCCATTTGTTGGAAGGATTATGTTTGACTAGATTTTCTTATGATGAGCACTGCCTCTGAGCCAACCATGGGCACTAATACAGTGCCTGCTTGATCCAGTTAAGCAAAAATTTCCTTCAGTTAAATATTTAAAAAGCTCAAGCCATTGTGGCTCAGTCGTTAGCACTGCTGCCTCACAGCACCAGGGACGTGGGTTCAAGTCCAGCCTTGGGCAACTGTCTGTGTAGAGTTTGCACGTTCTCCCTGTGTCTGTGTGGGTCTGCTCTGGTTTCCACCCACAGTCCAAGGATATGTGGGTTAGGTGGATTAGCCCATAGTGTCCAAAGATCTGCAGGCTAGGTGCATTACCCATGGGAAATGCAGGGTTACAGGGATAGCACGGGTCTGGGTGGGATGCTCTTTGGAGGGTTGATAGTGGTGTTGATGGGCCAAATGGCCTGCATCCACATTGTAGGGATTCGAAAATTGCCTTTGCCCACACACTCCATCCTAGCCTCCAGCTCAATCCCTTTCCCTGAGATGTTTTCAAACCACTCATAAATTTGGTGTCCTATTAAATCCAGAGATGCATTTCTGAAGCCACATGTGACCCATCAGCCTGAGTAACATTACCCCTCTCTTCACTGTCTCAGTTTATCGCTTGCTGAATTCTTCAATTGTGCTTTTGCCACTCAAGACCCCAATGATCTTCTGGCTAACCTCCAGTCCTGCACCCTCTGTAGACTTGAGTTTAGCCAATGTTGTATTGCCTGTATGCTAACTTGCCACCAAATCCCATTCACGAACCCTGTACGCATTCACCTCCATTAGTTCCTGATTCAGCTCAGCTTCCATTTTTAAATCTTATTTGAGTTTTCTGAATCTTCCATGGCTTCACCCCTCATCATCTTGATAATTTCTCCCAGCTTTACATCCTTCCAGGATCTCTGTACTCCTCCAACCCTGAGCACTTACATGTTCATAATTTTAATTGTTCCTTTACTGGGAGTCATGTCTTCAGCTGCCAGGGTCCTAATTTCCTCCTTTGATTTCCTCGTTTAAGATGCTTCTTATAACTTAGTTCTATGACCAGGTGTTTGGTTATTTATTTTAATATCATCCTTATGTGGTGCAGTGTCAAACTTTGTTTGTTAATGTTCCAAGAAGCACCTTGGGATATTACACCACATTAAAATGGCTGTGTACAAGTTATTGTCGTTTCTGGCATATCTCTCGCCATTTGATAACCTGAATGTTGGAATCCCCCACTTAATTGTAGTGGTAACTATACTTCAAAAATACCACATTGCCTGTAAATTGTTTTGGGACATCCCAAGTTCATGACAGGTGCTATGTAAGTACAAGTCTTTCAAGTCTTTTCAATGCACAATTGCTACAAGCATTTCTGCAACCAGTTCAATGATCTGACAAAGAGCAGATCTCTGGGCAGGTATAATATCTTTGAACTCCTGCCTCAAGGTTGTCTCGATACAATTTTGCAACAAGTTGAATCTGTATGGCATATTTAAGAATTGAGTTTCTGGTAACTATTTGAGCATCTGTAAGAGAGGCTGCCTGTGCATGTTGGGAAACCACAGATTCATTGCATTATCTTCTGTTACTTAGATTTCATTGCTCATACAACATAAGTAGCATGACCTTTGTTATCAAAGATTTGTGATCATTCATCAAGCTTTTTCACTGATAGCAGAATCCCACAAGATTAGCTGTAAACTTCAATTAAGTCACCTCACATTTTTTGGTGAGTATATTCATTACAGGTTAATAAGAAGGAAAACAGATCTGGCATTTATATAGTGCCTATCATTACCTCAGGGTGCCCCAAAGCCGGTAAAGAACATAAAAAAATGCATTTAATGTTGGGAATTGCAACATTCAAAATGAATGCAGCAACTTCCACAGACAGCAAAAAACCAGATAAACTATTTTAGAACATTGGCATTTTACAAGTCCATAATAAGTTCCCTGGAGAATTTAGAAATCCACTTTTCCAACTTTCTCAAAGTTAGGGGAAAACGACTTCTCATACAGTGAAAAATTGGTCCTTGGGACTGAGATAGTAGGAACTGCAGATGCTGGAGAATCTGAGATAACAAGGTGTAGAGCTGGATGAACACAGCAGGCCAAGCAGCATCAGAGGAGCAGGAAGGCTGACGTTTCGGGCCTAAACCGTTCTTCAGAAAACTACAGTCCTTGGGACTGTAGTCACTTGATGCACAACTCCATTGTTGCTGAAGTCAATGTGAAAAGGCAGTAAGCGGTATAGCTTGCATCAGTCCACAGACCAGAGCATTGCACTCAACATAGCAGCTGCACTTGTAATGAGTGGATTAACCCCATAATAATAACCTTCAAAACACATTCCATTTACAGATGACTGGCTGCTTCAGAAACAAATCCTGAAAGAAGGACAGGGACAAGCTACCAGACCTGATGTAGGTCAAGAGGTCACAATAAAACTGCTTGGAGTCCTGGAAGATGGGACCATTATAGACAAGGACCCAAAGCTTACCTTTGTCATTGGTGACGGTGATGTCATACAGGTTGGTCCCATTTTCATTGATTTTTAACTTTGGTTTTACTGTCTTGATTGATGTTGCTTACCATGACTATGTTTTCCCACCCATTAGAATGTCTCAATACAACCATGTTCTTCTTGTGTTGTCTGTCTCTGTGACAGGTAGGGCAAAGAAACTGGACCAAAATTCACCCCAGTGAGTATAGGTATCAAACCCATTGCTGAATTCTGGTCACCACATATTACTGAAGGACATGAAGGCCAGAGGAGAGATTGACTGGAATGGTTGTAGGGAAGGGGAGGGGGCAGTGTTTTGCTGCACAGTTGACTAGAGAAGCTGCAGTTGTCCTCTTGTATGTTAATGGGAGATCTGATGGAGGTGTAGAAGACAGTGATAGGTTTAGATAAGTTAGATCCCATTAGCTGATGATCAGGGTCACAGATGTAGAGCTCCAGACAGGCAGCACAGTGGCTCAATGGTTAGTACCTACTGCCATACGGCATCACGGTCCCAGGTTTGATTTCCCCCTTTGGGTACTGTCTCTGTGGAGTTTGCAAGTTTTCCCGGTGTCTGCGTGGGTTTCCTCCAGGTACTCCTATTGTCTTCCACAGTCCAAAGATGTGCAGGTTAGCCATGCTAAGATTTGTCCCATACTGTCCAGCGATGCGTAGGCTGGGGGGATTAGCTAGGAGGGTTAGTGAAGACTCGATGAGCTGAAAGGCCTCTATTTGCACTATCCACAACAGACAACTCATCCAACCAACACCCCCCACCCTGAGCAACCCCATGATCTACCAGGGTTCTGAATTACTATGAAATGTACACATTTATGTGTGTGTTGTAGCCTGTAGACATTGTTAGTGATGCTAGAGGCTCCAACTTCTTTCTATCATTTGGCTGACTCCTGCTTTGACTATCTGCCATTGGCGTATGTTTGAAGGGATCACAAGTTGGTACTCAATGTGTTTAACCACAAATATGCATTCATTCCTTGGTCATCGTGTCCTGAGTTGGGAATTGAACCCGAGCTCCTGCCTCAGAGACAGGACACCACCCACTGTGCTACAAGACCTCCAAAACCATATTACAACTGATTAAAAGAAATATGTAAAATTAAGAGGCTTTCTGACATAAAAACAGGAAACACTACACAGATGCAGTCTGTTATTCAGATTCTAAAAGAAAATAGGCTTTATAGGTTTGGCAGCAAACTTGCTAAAGTATCTCAGAAGAACCCTCTGTGTATTTCCAGCATTCTTTACTTTTTAAGGATAGATTCTGCTTCTTATCCGTTCAGGAAATTCATGTTATCTTAATGGAAAGGGAAAATTAATGAAGAGAATCCTATTAATAAAGTCTGGGGTCCATTTGCCTAATGCTATCAGCTATTCTTATGCATTAAGATTTTTTCCTAAAACTCAGCATCTGGAAAAAGCTGTTATCTCATGGGAGATTGCTACTGTTGAACAAAAGGTCACTTTTATAGAATTTAGATGAAAAAGGTTTTCAGTCTTTAGCTGCAATTAATTCTCATCGAAAGAAAAAAACAATTAAGATCACACCATTTATATCCTCAAGCTATCATAATGTGCTTTATAGTCAGTGACTATTATAGAATTTATTTTATTCTTTCATGGGAAATGGGAATCACTAGCTGCGCCAGCATTTATTGCCCATACTAAATTACCCTTGGGAAGGAGGTGATGAGCTGTCTTCTTAAACTGATGCTGTCCATTTGTAGGTACACGCACAATGCTGTTGGGGAGACAGATCCAGGATTTTGGCCCAGTGACACTCAAGGAACTGTAATATATTTCCAAGTCAGGATGGTCAGTGGTGTGGGTAAGACCTTGCAGGTGGTGTTCCCATGTATCTGCTGTCCTTGTCATTCTAGATTGTATGGCCATAGGCTTGGAAGGTGTTATCTAAGGAACCTTGGTGAATTTCTGCAGTGCATCTTGTAGATAGTACACATTCCTGCTGCTGAATGTCAGTGAAGGAGAGAGTGAATGTTTGGGGATCTGATGACAATCAATCAGTCTGCTTTATCCTGGATGGTGTCAAGCTTCTTGAATAGAGTCATAGGGTCGTAGAGAAGTATAGCATGGAAGCAGACCCTTCGGTCTAACTCAACTGTCCAAATATCCTACATTAATCTAGTGCCATTTGCCAGCATTTGGCCCACATCCCTCTAAACCCTTCCAATTCAGATGCCTTTAAATGTTGTAATTGGACCAGCCTCCACCACCTGCTCTGGCAGTTCATTCAATATACACACCACCCTCTGCTTGAAAAAGTTGCCCCTTTTAAAGCTTTCCCCTCTCATCTTAAACCTATGGCCTCTAGTTTTGGGCACCCCTTTTCTCAGAAAAAGATCTTGATCATTCACCCTATCCATGCCCATCATGATTCTATAAACCTCTACAATGTCACTCCTCAGCCTCCGATGATCCAGGGAAAATAGCCCCAGTCTATTCAGCCTCTCCCTATGGCTCAAACCCTCCAAACCCAGAAACATCCTTGTAAATTTTTTCTGCATTCTTTCAGGTTTCACAACATCTTTCCCTTAGGAGGAAAACCAGAACTGAACACAGTATTCCAATATAGTCTAAACAATGTCATTAAGTGTATAAGTCCTGCCCTGAATTGCCCTACCAAAATGCAGCACCTCATATTTATCTGAATTAACTCCATCTGCCACTCCTCAGCCCATTGGTCCATCTGATCAAAGTCGCATTGTACTCCAAGGTAATTTTTTTCACTGTCCACTACACCTCCAGTTTTGGTATCATTTGCAGGCTTACTAACCATACCTCCTATTTTCACATCCAAGTAATTTATATAAATGACAAAAAGCAGTTGTTGTTTGAGCTGTTCTCATTCATTAAGTGGGGAGAATTGCATCACACTATTGCCTTTTAGATGATGAATAGGCTTTGGGAAACCAGCAAGTGACTTACTCGCTGCAGGATTCCGAGCGTCTGACCTGCTCTTATAGGACACAGCTTTTATATGGGTATTCCAGATAAGCTTTTAGTCAACAAAAACAACAACTGTTGTTAGTCACTAACAGTCCCCATTAACAACTATTCACCCTCCCAGCCTGATCGTTAGCAACTGCTTTGTCTGTCCAACTGTCTTTCTCTCTCTTTGGGCTCTGTCCTTTCGTTTACTCCCTACCCCATCCACCTCCCTATTTTCTACATAAAAACTGACGTTTTCCCAGCCACCATCAGTTCTGAGGAAGGGTCACCGGACCCGAAACGTTAACTCTGTTCTTTCCTTCACAGATGCTGCCAGACCTGCTGAGCTTTTCCAGCAACTTTGTTTTTGTTCCTGATTTACAGCATCCGCAGTTCTTTCGGTTTTTATTAAGCTTTTAGTCAATGCTACGTCCCAGGATGTTGGGAAATGCAGTGATTGTTGAATGTCAAGAAGTGATGGTTAGATTCTGTCTTGTTGGAGATAGTTATCACCTTATGAATATGCAATGGCAAAAATAGAATGGTAATCAATACAAAAGTAACTCAAAAGAATTCAGTCCACACTTAAGCACTATTCAGGCAATAAGAGGCAAGATAGGACCTAATAGGGACAATGAAGGTCATATATACTTAAAATTGCAAGGCAAGGCTGGAATACCTCCTGAGTAATTTGTATCAGTGATCACTAATGAAGTGGTTGCCAAAAAAAATTATGAGTGTAAGCTAAAATGGTAGAGATATTAGATGATGTGAAAATTGACAGACAAGATGTTCTGGGAAATTTGGTGCTTCTTACAGTGAGTGCATCCTCTATACAGACTGCTTGCATCAGAGGTTTAAATCCTCCAGTGACAGTATCAGGGGATTAGAAAGTGGCAAATGTAATAGCCTTATTCAAGAAAAGAATGTTCTTACTAAGTACAAATCGCTCCGTTTAAGACTAGGGTAGACTGAGACTTTTGAAAGATTAACAAGTGAGGAAGTTAACAGACAGTTGGAGAGCTTTGTATTCCTTAAGGAGAGATGGTATGGATTCATGAAAGATTGTGTTTGATTCATCTTATTGAATGTTTTGAGGATGTAACAGGGAGGTTTGCTGAAGAGAATGTTGTAAGATTGGGTTTAAGAAAGCATTTGACAAAGTATCGCAAAAAAGGCTGGTTAACAAAATTGAATCACATGGAGTAGGAGGGTCAGTGTCAGATTAGATAAAAATTCACTCAAGGACAGAAAACAGTGAGTCATGTTAAATGGCTGTTTTTCAGTCTGTAACATCATTGACAGAATTGTTCCCCAAGAGCCAGTGCTCAGACTACTCCCTTTCTGATATATTTATAACTTAAGATATTGGAATTTAGAGCACAATTTAAAAAATTTGTTGAGGAGGACAAGCATAAAGATATGGCACACAATGAGGATGATATCAATTAACAGCAAGATATAGACTAGCAGAATGGGCAGACAAATGTCAGAAGGAATTTAATATAGAGTTGTGTGAGTTGATGCATTTTGGCAGTAGGAAAACAGTATATATTTAAGGACAGAATTTGAAAGGATGGAGAAAAACATGGAATTCAAACTTGTTGATTCTTGAGGGTGGTGTAGAGAACAAAATAAGCAAAGCAGCTGGCATCAAGGGCTATCTAATTTACATCCAGATCATTGATCATCTCCACTTTCACTGTAGGCCATAAGTTCCACACAATTTTTGCTTGCTTTGTAAAAAAAATGTTCATTCTCACTCTATCTGACAAACTTTGTGGCTTTGTGCCTGCGTTGAATGACAAGACAATACAGAAGCACTGTGAGCCTGGTATCTCTGGCTGATGGGGCAAACCACAAAGAGGAGAAAAAAGTCAATGATGAGCCCATCTAGATGGTCTGGAGTGATGAGCGTATGACAACAACTGCAGAGCTGGAGATGCAGTTGGGTCCAGTCCATGAGCACACAGTCTCCCTGCAGCAACATTACAATGATGGTTGCTGATGCAGCCTGATCTACAGCATTGAAGTGTAATGGATCAGAGATGTACTAATACA